ACGAGCCCAGAAGGAAGCAAACTACTCAAGCCGACTCCACATGTCACAATGAAAGTAATTGAAAAGGTTTCAAACCGATTGAATAGTAGTTACTAGTTGTAGTACTAATTGTACACTAGTAGTTACTAGTAGTAGTACTAATTGTACACTAGCAGTTACTAGTTGTAGTACTAATTGTACACTAGTAGTTACTAGTTGTAGTACTAATTGTACACTAGTAGTTACTAGTTGTAGTACTAATTGTACACTAGTAGTTACTAGTTGTAGTACTAATTGTACACTAGTAGTTACTAGTTGTAGTACTAATTGTACACTAGTAGTTACAGGTCAGACCTCGCTATAACGTAATCTCTGGGGGATGGGGGAAATTATGTTATAGCGAGGTTTATGTTATAGTGAGTTGGGCACACCAATATGCAATATGTATGTCAAAATGACGCTCTTCACCTACTGATTACAACCGTACTGACTGTACTGTTTTACATACAGGTATGATGATGACTGGCAAAGATGTGTACAGACTACATAGTCTGTGGGCCAAGTGACAAAAATGTGAATTCTCGTTCCGAGTAAGAGGGCACCGCAATTTTTTTGGCCCAGTCGATAGATGGACTGGCATACATTGAAAACCCGTTTGTTGTCATTCCTGAACTTGTCCAAGGGTTGCACGGCGAGTGAAATACAAATCAGCACTGGTTGCCATGGTAACCAGAACCTAAAATTGGATTTTCTGGCTAATTACAATGTTTTTGGTATTATTATTTTTTCCACAGGGTCATATATCCAGAGTGCCTCCTTCCCAGATTCAACTGGAAAGAGAAAATATGATATAACATGAAAAATAAAGAAAAACAAAATGCCCAATACGTCCATATTGTTCATGTACACAGACGTGTGCAAGAAGACCGCGTGTGTCGAACACAATACTGTAACTACTTCGAAACATCATTCGAGTCATTGTATACCATTTTATCAGATCATAATAAGACTGGCTGTGGCATGCAGGTACTGATCATTGCAGAATACTATGTCTGATCTAAGAATATCTCAGACCGTTCAATACAAAAATGGTGTACATTATACAGATATGAGGCAGAACACACAGCCGCATTTATGCATTGCATAGTTATTATATGGGTTGCAGAATAATCTGAATGTCCAGAGAAAGGATCACAACACTGTGACCATCAGCACAGGTCACTGACAGACCAGACCTGAAGGACTGCGTGACCCCAGAAGACTATGTTTGTTGCAGCTGTGTACGAGGGAGACTTCGTCATCATAACACTGACTTATACTGCAGGATTAACCATACGGAATATGTTTAATGTTTCCGAAAAAGGTCGACCTGTAGAGAATAATCAGGTCACAGAAAATACACAATTCCAATTCCAATGATCACCCAACGTGTGGACAGAACTAGTTCGTCCTTTGTGGACTCATCAGCGCAGCACAGAGGAAATGAGGCCGAAGCCGATGGCAATGAAAAATAATCGCAATGATCATTCCCGTGCATTTTTATATCTCCCACATTGATTTTAGTCCACATGTGATATCAAGAGTTCATAACCCCCAAGAGTGTGCAACTCCTGATCAGTCCCTGTATGCAAGCCCGCTCGGCGGAATTCCTTCATTGCGTCATTTTTGGTGCAGTGCGATGAGTCACGCCGATGAATTCTTCTAAAATTTACAGTCAAACCAGGATGCTTCCCCAGGGTAAACTGCCTAAACTGCGATTCTAGTCTGAGCCTCGACTCGAGTCAAGAAGCAAAAGTAAAGTGAAACAAAGTATGCACACGAAAGACAAAACTATTTTTTCGATGCAATGGTGACTCTTCATCGCCTTCTTCTTTCACCAGTGCAGTCAGTCTCTTCAAGAACAATTATATTTCTTCCCCAGGCCATCGGCATATTTCTGGTGCTTTCCTGGAAGATAATTTCAAATGGTTGAGGAACTTTAGAATACGTCGAAGGAGCATTTTTCGGCTGAGTTGCACAGCTATCAGAATGATTGTCCTCGACGGCAATGCAATATTTTTAACAGCGTCCTCACTTCTTCCTGTCGCGATGTCCATGGATTCTTGGAGAAAGAGTTTGTTTTTGAGAAAGTACGACTTTTCGGAAATGTCTTCAAAATAAGCTTCGAAAAGTCGAGGCTACAGCCTTGAGTTAGGGGCGGTTCAGGGTATAGTTTCCAGAAATCGCAAAGAACCCAAATTTACCTCGGATGACAAGCTGCGCATGACGTAATGTAGGAATTTCGCCGAGCGCTGGGTCTATGCCCGTTGCACACTCTTGGGGGTTATGAACTCTTGGTGATATTGATACTGAACACTGGGCAAACATCAGAAGGACTTGAATTGGGCATGATGTACAGTCACGTACATGTTCATGATTGTACAATGTGCATCACTGAACTCTAAAGAACACTCAATCTTCAATCACATTATACATACGATTACCTGTCAGGATGGGCATTCTTTTTCATATTCATCCTCGTCTTCACTGAGTTCTGCAGTTACTTGAAGCTCCAGTGGTTGCCCATTCTCACACTCCTGGCCCGAGTGAGAGCACTTGCAAGCATCCGTGCAATTGAGGTGCTGTCTCCGGCAGGAGCAATGTCCGTGCTTGCAGCCTGTCGTGCAACCGCATGAAACAAATTCCATCAGGCTCCATGGTGCTGGTGCCAAGCTGAGCCAGTCCACTTCCAAACCACCGCCAGAATCAATGGTCCACCCTTTTTTTTTTTTTTTTTGTTTCTTTATTTTACTTCACCATATGAACAGGCAAGACTGCCTTCTCACCGGGGCTGTTGGCCCACGGCTCTCACAATATGATGAAACCCTTGACCAGGGCTATGCGGTGGTGGGACATCCGCGGAAGCTTCCAGAGCACGGTGCCAGATACTGGCCTGGTAATTTGCTCTTGCAGCATACTTGCGCAGCGCATCTTGGCAAGGAGGAAGGGAGCTGGATTGCGTCGAGCGAGAGCAGAACATCTGGTATCGCACTTCGTTGATAGATGTGGCGGTGTTGAAGCCGTATATACCGCAAGTGAACTGCTCGATGCAGGCGAAAATGTCAGCTGGTAGTGCGTCAAATGATGCACCGAGTGCTGCCATAGCCTTTCGAGCCAGCTCGCCTTTTGGGGTTTGCTTGGTGATCAGCTGAAATGCTAGCTTCTTCCCTCTGCCACTGAAGGCACTGGTTGTGTCACAACCTGTATAGGCATGCATCCCCACCATGGCTTCGCAAACAGGGGCACTAAGCTCTCGTGTAATTCCTGTAGCATTGTTTATGGTAGTTAACCTCGCACGCAAATATTCCAGAGACGGATTGACCAATTGCAACTTGGACCTTTTCGTCTTTTCTGACGTTTGCTGCGTATAACATGTACATAACAGCTTCGCTGCAGCGTGTGCGTATTTACACCTGCTTGTGGACTGGACTACAATTCTTCCGGCCAGGTTGCTGGCGCCTCTCCTTCCCACAAAATATGCAGCCCTTCATGCCTGGAGCTACGACGGGCGCGGCTAGTGCGGCGCGCGTGCTGGGGCGGCGCTTGGCTTCTGGCTCTATCGACTCCGGCACAGACAGTTCTTCCGAATGGCTAGATGAGGGGTACTCTGCCTTCGTCGGAGGGTTATATTCGTTATTTTCTGGTAACATTTTCTGTGGAAGCCTCCGTTTTCAGGCCAAACATCACTACGACATAACTCCCTGAGCTCAGCTAAATTTTCTACGGCAACAGCTTCACTAGTGCATATTTCACACACTTTCTTCCACGTTGTCTGGGTGAAGGGCTTCACCTCCTCACCGCACTCCGGAACGTGAATGAGACACTTTAAACTCATCACGACGCTTACTTCTAGTGCTACTTGACCACAGACATACTAGTACAAACTGAAACCAAAAAACCAATCTCGAAATGAAAGTTCAAACTGAGAAGGAAGATGCCAAGTATAGTGGGTGCACGCCTGCACTGCAGTGCAGAGAATTGTGGGTCCGGGTGCACGCCTGCAGAGAGTGTGCAGTGTACCAGATCGTACCAGATCACGACTTGACATGACAGGTAACACTGTGTACTTTCGTCTATTCTGGTGCATAATCACATTTCACAGCACCACACACAACGCGCATGCATGAATGCATACAAAACAATGGCCGCCGGGAGAGAAATTTTCAACATGGAAAAGCCGATTTTTGGATACCTTTCAGAAAGTTGTCAGAGTGACAACAACCGGAATCCTGCTCAGTAAGGTATCTAGAGTAGACGTGGCCAATAAAATTGCGGTGCCCAAAAGTCGGAACGAGATTTTTCTAGGAGGCCTTTTTTCAGGTTTGGCCCACGGACTAACAGCCTTGTACAGGCTTGGCAGCAAAGGGGTGACAAGAGTCATGTAGTGCGTGTACTTGTACAATCATGTGACAAGATTAGAGCCTATAAAAAGTAATGGGAGTAGTAAAATACCGGTATTTTACTACTCCCTGCTTCCAAGGTGGACGTCTCAGTCTCGAATTCGTCGCGAGAAGGCATGCATGCCGTGTACATAGTCTTTTTTATAGGAGTTGTTACGTTATGCTGAGGTCTCCGGGCGCCCGGGACCCAGCAAACAGTGCGTTATAGCGAACATTACGCTATAGCGGATTATGTTATAGCGAGGAAATTTTGTACAGAAGTGATGCAGTTTCGGCAGGGACATTCACATGTGTACGTTATAGTAAGGTTTATGTTATAGCGGGGGTCGTTGTAGCGAGGTCTGACCTGTACTAGTTGTAGTACTAATTGTACACTAGTAGTTACTAGTTGCCGGGATTCTGCGCTCTACAGTGGTGGACTACAAGTTCGAGTACGTCACACGTCAAGTCTGTATTGCCGAGTACGTCACATGTCAAGTCTGTATTGCCGAGTACGTCACATGTCAAGTCTGTATTGCTCTTTGCGGGTCATAAGATTGATGAGTGTGTCTGTTGGTTTTAATGTGCTTCTGTTATGCTTAGGCTCCCATTCAACGGTTGGCAGATCGCATTGCTGGCGTATTCGTACCATTCATTGTGTCAATGTCTACTCTGGCATTTGTAGTATGGCTTGTAGTGGCGTTGGCAAACATCTCTATACCAATGGATGTAAGTGCAGATGATATTTCCCGGCTTTTTTCAACCAGTACATGTTTTTTATCACTTTCCAGTTTCGAATAACCTGCATGATGACCTAGGTAAAAACCAGCATGGCGAAGGCTCGGGGCTTTCAAGCCCTCTGGTTCATTTTTTTAGTTGTAAAAAGAAACTTTAGCTTACCACACGAACATACATAACTCATGACTCAAACTCCCTGAAAGGTACTTTCCACCAACCCCACAGCCCCCTCCCCATACTCTGTTTGCGCCCCCCCCCCCTCCCCCCCCCCCCCCCCCTGTGAAAAAGTGCTACCCCTACTCATTTTCCGATTTTCGTGTTTTTCATGCAATTCAACGAAGATGCAGTTGAAAGTCACAAATAGATGGTTCACATAAGGGCAAATTTTTCTGGGGCGAAGTCGGGGATTCGCCCCATACATTGCATTTAGCGTGGAAAGACAATATTGGAAAGTGGAAAAATGGGATACGGGGTGACTGTTTCCCATGCCCCCCCCCCTGCTATTTGGACCTGGCTAGAACCCTGCCATCAAGTTGCTTCACGATATGCCGTTGAAAGCCGTATATGACTATTAAAATTATATCGTGGCCAGCTGTCTTTGAGGGTACGGTACGGGACCCGTATGGGATTGCGCGTCACGTGATGATGCCCTGCCCCCCCCCCCCCCCCCCCCCCCCCACACACACACTCACACACCAAATGATAGCGCTGGTGACCCTGGCTAGCGCCTGACGCTACTAAAGTAGCGTCTTTTGTGTAGCTACGGAAACGAGAGAGCTTGGAAGCTCAGGGCCCTACGCTATGCTTTGTTGCTTAGCTCATCGTGCTTGTTGTGGGAACTGATGGAAATGTTTCCTGGGACGGCGCTGACTCTGCCGATCACGGGCGTTCTGGAGTCGACGGGATCTCTCTCCCGACGTTTCCTGTGACCGGCGCTGACTCGCCCGTTCACGCCTATTTTGGAGACGACGGGATCTCTCTTCCAAAGTATGTTTTTGCTGACGCATCCTATCACCTATTCGGCAACTAACGTCCATTCTAATTTCATTTCCTCCTCGTCTCCCTATTTCTTTCCAGAAAGTCTCCCTATACATCAGGGAGTCGTACTGTATTGGCAGCTACCCTAACGGGTCACGCCGCCCTCCACCCAAGCATGGGTATGATGAGGGACAGTGGCAACAGAAAAAACAGCAAGCAGAGAGAGATAGCAAGAGAAAGACAGCGATAGTGGTACATCTGGTGTGCGACGTATAGAAAAGAGAGATGACAAGAGATGCGCACAAAAAAGGAAACAATAATTATTTTTGCAGTTCCGAAACAATCAACAAGGTGATGGAGTGTGGGCACCCGAAGTCCCACCTGGACTCCACTGGAAGAACATCCCACGCAGGGATATCAGCGATAGGCCAAGCATTGAAAAACAGCCATGAGGACACATTGTGTAGAAGTCCACCGCGCTCGAACTGAAATTGCAGGTTCAAACAATTTCCCACGCGTGGTCAGGCAGCGTAACTCTTCTCCCTGCATCACCATCCATCTCCAGCAACCGTCTACACTCACAGCTCATGCCTCTGCCACCACTGTACTCCTCTGAGCTTCGCAGTTTGAAACCATTCGGGAGTCAGCTACACCACCGCGAATGGAGAGACGAGGACGACAACGGTCGTGACTGAAAACACACTGCCTTGGCGACCGCGTCGCGGAACCCTCGCCCCAGCAAATTCAGAAACATGCCAGGGGCGACTCTGGTGGACCCAGAGCCACCCACTTGGCAAGACTAGTAAGAGGGGCGACTGAAAACTCAGATAAAACGGAGCTACAAAAAGTGCAACCGTCCCCTTCAAGCACAGTTGCAATACACAAGGAGTCGTATACATGTACATAATACGACCAATATTGTGGCCAGCTGCTTGTGGCCAGCTGTGTTTGATTGTACGGTACGGTACGGGACAGATACGGGAGCCAGCAAATGGCCAGCAAATGGCCAGCTGTGTTTGATGGTGCGATACGGTACGGGACAGATACGGGATAGCGCCAGGCGTGACACAAACAAACAAACAAACACCGAATTAAAGCTGTGCGGACCCTGGCTAGCGCCAGACGTTACTGAAGTAACGTCTTCTGCATAGCTACGGGAATCAAATGATATTGGTGCTTCATTGCTATTATACAACGGAAATAGTGCATAGTACTGAGTATGGTGCAGTGCAGTACAGTACAGTACAGTACAGTACAGTACAGTACAGTACAGTACAGTACAGTACAGTACAGTACAGTACAGTACAGTACTGTACTGTACTGTACAGTACTGTACTGTACTGTACTGTACTGTACTGTACTGTACTGTACTGTACTGTAATGTAATATACAGTACACGTGTCAAAGTACCTGTGTGGCATTTTCCAGCATAGCTTCTCTGCGTGTGTGTGCATTGTGCATGCTTTCTGTTTTCGCTTACACTTTGGCCAGACTCGGCCTGCAGCCGAGTCTAACGCGAAGCGTGAATTTTTGTTGGTCAAACCTCGACTGACCTACGCCTCCACTTCTGACGGTGATGATTTTAGAGCAGTCATCCACACCAAAAACACTACTCAACTCAGTCCTGTTTACTACGAGCTTTTATTAAGAACATTTTTTTAAACCTAAAGATAAACGGTATCCATCATCAGTGACCATGGTGACCAGGGGAACAATGCGTACAGTCACTACAGTATGAAAACTATGAATGCTGTGACAGCACATGTACAAGTGCTTAGACGGTATGATTGAGGGTAGTACAACTTCAGATACCGGTATGAATGGCAGAAGGTGATCAATGCATAGACAGTGGTGACAAGAATATGGATCCAAATCCCCGACGTTGACACACTAAACGCATACTATTTTATCATATAAAAATTAATTATGATAGCTGTGCATTTTGCAACATGTTTGGTGTTTCTTCCAGCTATATGAAGGGTGCCAGCTACCAACGGAGAAGCCACCCGGACTTGTTGGTTCTGCATTCAGTGTAGCATTCCTAATGGGAATATCAGTGTTATGTGTTGCTTGTCCCTGTGCTCTTGGCCTGGCAACACCTACTGCAGTCATGGTGGGTACCGGAGTAGGAGCCGAGAATGGCATCTTGATAAAGGGCGGTGAACCATTGGAAACAGCACAAAAGGTGAGTTGCACACTTTACCTATAATTATGATTTCACCAATCTCTGTAGGATTGCTAAGTCTTGCATCCTGTCACTCAATCCTCATACATCACACACATGACTCGAACAAGATATCAATGCATGCATGCACTAACAACACAATGTACATATGATGGTAATTCTTTGAACTACATGTACACAACACACCCAGCATTGTCTTGGTTTACCAGTTAACCCATTTAGCGCTATAGGGATATGCACCCATCCTCTGCATACATTTTCGGCAAAATCTGAATTGCCTAATTTGACTATTTAGTTTGTTGTTCTGTGTAGCAGGGTCATCTTATGGACAGAAAACAACGCTGGAAGGAACCTGAACCAAAAACTCAGTCTCCCAGAGCCTATATAAAAAAATCAAATTTTGCGCATTTCACCTATTTCAACATGGATTTTAGTCTAGGTTGCCCAAAAATATTTTTCGGTACACTGTTCGACTGCGAGCACAGGTTTTACTAGGAGCAGAATGTATTGATGTAGCAAGAGCCTTCTTTGTGCCCTACTTAGCACTAATGAAGAAGATACATCACCAGCGTTTGCGGACAAGGAAACAATGATGCAGGCGTAATGCGGCAAGGGACGGCAAATACAGATATTCGAGTTCACCTGTACTGTTCCAGCAGCAGAGCAAACAATACACAAGTGGAAGCAAGTCCACCATCAGTCTAATAGGTACAGCACAACAGGAGAACAGGAGAACTAGCTAGATCGTGCAAAAAATATATTATTATATACAACCAGAGTATTGAAGAAAAACAGCGAAGGCACTAGCTCTTCAGAACAATGATAATTTCAATTCTGCAGGCGACCAGAGTCCATATTGCAGATATATAAATTTATAGTAAAGAAAAAGGACCAAGAAACTACAAGTTACACTATAATGTCCACTGACACCACCAGTTACTAAACAATCAGCTCATGTGATAACATTCCACGACACTGACCGACGGTACTGACGTTCTACAACTAACTGGCTAACAGCTCCAGCACATCTAGGATGCGCACTCCAACAGGCTCCATCCGATTATAATTATATACTTACATTGGCAGAAGCTCACTGGTGCCAAAGAGAAAAGCATGGTGCAGCACACAGGCCAGGCTGATTGGGGCACTGCAAACAGCAATAGCGTGACTCCTTCCGCACACCCTTCGTCTTCGAACAGTACCGGCAAACTCTTGTCGGCGTTGCCTTCTTTGCGGTGGGAGGAATGCAAGCTGGCATATGCGCGGCCATCATGACGGTACGTGGCACAGGTGTAGCTGGAGCAGCAGCAGCAGCAGCAGTGCACCCGCTCTTCCCATCCTGGAGCATGGCCTGCAATGCGATGGTAATGAAGTCGGTGTGTTTCCTTGGTGTCGTGGCAAACTTCTTGTGCAGCACAAATGCGTTGAGCATGCACTCCTCCAGCAGATGGGCGGCAAGCTTCTTGTACCACTTCTGGGTTTTCCTGGCACAGGTGTAGAAAGAAAGCATTTCATCATTTCTATCGACACCGCCCATGAACAGATTGTAGTCGTGTACTAGCGCCAGCTTGCGAATCGGGAGGCGGTGCAAGTCGCGCTTCCCAGTGTCCACGACTTCAGCAGAGTGAAGGGTGGAAAGGAAGTGGACAACCTTTGTGTCGGAGAGCTTCACAAAGATGATGCCGTTCCAGCTCCGGAACACAAACTCGCCTTTCTTCAGGCCCTTGTACGCAACGGTGCGCTTCGGCAATCCACGGCGGTTGGATCTGATGGTCCCGCACACCATCGTTCCCTTGTCAGCAAGATACCGTGCCAAGTCCACACTTGAATACCAGTTATCAACATAGAGGTGGTATCCTTTGTCGACAAAAGGTTCCATCAGTCTTGCCACAACAGCACCAGACTTTCCAAGGTTGTTGACAAGCTCAGGACTGAACGTAGCATCATCCTTGCCAACGTAGACGATGTAGCTTGACATGTAGCCGCTCGATTCACAGAGTGCGAAAATCTTGACACCGAAGCGAGCTCTTTTGGACGGTATGTACTGACGGAACTGGAGACGGCCTCTCCAGGCAACAAGCTCCTCATCGATTGAGATCTGCTTGGAAGGTGTGTACACAGTCTCGAAGAGGCGTACGGTCAACGTGATGAGTGGACGGAGTTTAGCAAGCTTGTCATCCGCGTCGGCTGTTTCGTTATCCGCAAAGTGAAAGAACGATAGAATAGCGCACCATCTGTCCCGAGCCATCGATGAGCTGTAGATAGGAGTGTGGACCATTGGATTGGTGCTCCAATACATATCAATCTCCGGCTTTACGATGATGCCCATCAGCAGGTAGAGCGACATGAACATCTTCATTTCCGGCACGGTAACTGGTGTCCACTTCCTTAGACGACTGTGCCGGGGAAGGTCTTGACTGCGCGTTGCCAGGTACTGTGTGGCATACCTGTTTGTCTCCACCACAAGCAAGTCCCAGAGTTCCGGCGTGAAGAAGAGCTTGACGAAGTCGTACGGTGTGGCGCTCTCAGGAAGCTCGACATTCAATCCTGTTTCTGCCGTGAAGTCCGGTATGTCGGGGTGATTGTCATCCATACACCATATGCCTAAGAGACAAGAAATGGCACACAAACACACACATGTGCGCATGCGCGCGCACACACACACACATGCGCGTGCGCGCGCGCACACACGCACACACACACACGCATGCGCGCACACACGCATGCGCGCACACACGCATGCGCGCACACACGCATGCGCGCACACACGCATGCGCGCACACACGCATGCACGCACACACGCATGCGCGCACACAGACGCATGCGCGCACACACACGCATGCGCGCACACACACGCATGCGCGCGCACACGCATGCACGCACACACACACACACACACACACATGCATATCAAGTAAAAAATATCTATGTATATTTTTAGTGCTTCGTTCTGCATACCGGTATGCAATTGCACATTTATAGAGATACGAATTGACACCACATGATGCTCTGAATACTAGTACAAAATTATCGCATTGACCATGAACATTGCACAAATAATTACTGAGGTACATATACTTTCAGCATGTACATAGCATCTGGAATCGTCATGACTGATGGCAAGCATGCTACAAGTGTCACGCAATATTCGATTTGTACTAAATTCAAATTTCAAATTTTTTGAATTTTTCAACAATTGCACTTTTGACAATTACCTTCTTGTCCCGAGTCTCCTGCCACCAGCGCTTCAACAGCCGGCTTGTGTGATCTCTCCGATTGCTCTAAAGTATCTGGACCTCCTGCGTTGGCATCAGCTTGGAGTGCGGGGGCCGCTTCCGCGACATCATCATCAGCGTGTTGAGCAAGGTCAAGTTCGTCATCAATATCGTCATCTGCGTCCCCATCCGCGTACCAACTGTCATCCTGGTCGTCTACATCTGGCTCAACATCGCTGTTGGGGTCAAGGGCCACAACATTTATCGCCTCGTCAAGAGAAAGGATGCGTGTTCTCCTTGACATCTTGGACACGTGGTCCCACGCAAGACGAAACTCAACATTTTTCAAAAAAATATTTCAGTCTTTCGAATCACGTGCAAGAGCGATCCGAGCACGGCGAAGTTCGCGGCACGCGATGTCCACGAGTACATACGTTGCCTATGATGTGTCTAGAGACTCTGGGGTCTCTTTGAGCCCTACGCTGAAACACAGAAGTTAGTACAGTACGATAGCCTGTCAGCCCGAATATATTCGGGCTCAGCGTCCTGACGTCATTCTGAATCCCGAGTATATTCGGGCTCAGCAGTGAATGGGTTAACCTATCGGTATGTCTTCCCCCCTGTCTTCCCCCCTGTCTTCCCCCTGTCTCTCCCCCCCCCCCCCTGTCTTCCCCCTGTCTCCCTCCCCCCTGTCTTCCCCCCTGTCTTCCCCTGTCTCTCCCCCCCCCCCGTGTCTTCCCCCCCCCCCCCTGTCTTCCCCCTGTCTTCCCTCTGTCTCCCCCCCCCCCCCCCCCTGTTTCCCCTGTGTCTTCCCCCTGTCTCCCCCCTGTGTTCCCCCCTGTCTCCCCCCTGTGTTCCCCCCCTGTCTCCCCCCTGCTTCCCCCCTGTCTTTCCCCCCCCCCCCTGTGTTCCCCCTGTGTTCACCTGTACTGTATGTGACTCTAATCGGTGGCACAGGTGACAACCGTCGTGTTCGACAAAACTGGTACACTGACAGCATCCAGACCCACTGTCCAGACCGTAGTTCAGTTTTCTGATAAAGTGTCATTCAGCAAGGAGTTCTTATTGGCAGCTGTGGGAACTGCGGAGTCAGGCAGTGAACACCCGATTGGAAAAGCCATTGTTGATTCAGCCAAGGATGTAAGTTGCGTTGCTCTGCGAATGTGCATTCTGTGTGTTAGCATGTGTGTGTATTAGCATGTGTGTGCATGCATGTGTGTGTGTGTGTGTGTGTGTGTGTGTGTGTTAGCATGTGTGTGTGTGTGTTAGCATGTGTGTGTGTGTTAGCAGGGCAGTCGGAAGGTATTTTAGGGTTGCACGGTCAGTCATCTGAAGTACAGTTTATTTGTGGGGGAGGGATGGCGGAGGGGAAAATTTTGGAAATTTAGAGTCCAGATCAGTGTATTTTATTGATTCACGGAGTACCTGGGGCAAAAAGTGGTACGGTCAATACCGTAGTGACCGTACCGTGTCCGACGCCCCTGGTTAGCATGTGTGTGTATGCATGTGTGTGTGTGTGTGTGTGTGTGTGTTAGCATGTGTGTGACTTGGTGTGTGTCGATATGCATACACCTGAAGGGTTTTGCATGGAATGATTGTTATAACATGCCTTGCTTACTGCAGCATTGCTTACTGCAGCATTGCTTACTGCAGCATTGCTTACTGCAGCATTGCTTACTGCAGCATTGCTTACTGCAGCAATGCTTACTGCAGCATTGCTTACTGCAGCATTGCTTACTGCAGCATTGCTTACTGCAGCATTGCTTACTGCAGCAGAGCACTACAGCAGAGCACTACAGCAGAGAACTACAGTATGTGATCTGTTGCTCATCATACACAACATGACCTCTGTGCTCACTGCTAGTCGAATGTTGATGGATCAAAACTGTTTGTACACGTTATTGCTGCTGTTGTGCGTGTACCCACTGAAATACGGAATTTTCCTCTGCTACAGCGCTGCACTTATGTCCTCTGCTACCCATGGAATACATGTACATGCAGGTACAACCACACACACACACGCACACACACACACACGCGCACGCATGCACGCACGCACACGCACACACACACACACACACACCCTCCTGGCTACGCAACCGAGGATGATTGTGTAACTTCATCGGTCACTACTGTAGCTTGCAGCTGTCAGGCAAGAAGGATATTGTAAAACAATAAAAGGTGTGCAGTACTGCCGGGCACCGAAGAACTGGGTGTCAGGGTTCTAGCCTAGCCCGTTCTCATTTTTAGAGAACACAGCCGTTTCGTTCTTATTCCATGGCACTGTCTTACATGTATGCATAGTGTCTTAGGAATGCACAGAGTTTGCGGCCTTATGTGTTGCATAGTGGAGTCAGGCGGTGATCAATAAACTTTGTACAAGTTGGCTTGATAGGGCTGGCACTGGTTCTATTGAGCATATACCTAGGTTAACCCATAGGGTAATTGTCGGCAATAAATACGTGACTATATCCTTTGAAATAGTATCCTCTTCAGCTCTTGTGTATTACCTGGTTCACCACTGCAACCCCCCCCCCCCCCCCTCTTGTGTATTACCTGGTTCACCACTGCACCCCCCCCCCCCCTCCCCCCTCTTGTGTATTACCTGGTTCACCACTGCAACCCCCTCCCCCTCTTGTGTATTACCTGGTTCACCACTGCAACCCCCCCCCCCCCCCCACCCTCCCTCTTGTGTATTACCTGGTTCACCACTGCAACCCCCCCCCCCCTCTTGTGTATTACCTGGTTCACCACTGCACGCACCCCCCCCCCCCCTCTTGTGTATTACCTGGTTCATCACTGCACCCCCCCCCCCCCCCCGTTCTTGTGTATTACCTGGTTCACCCGTGACTGCACCCCCCCCCCCCTCTTGTGTATTACCTGGTTCACCACTGCAACCCCCCCCCCCTCCCTCTTGTGTATTACCTGGTTCGCCACTGCACCCCCCCCCCCCCTCTTGTGTATTACCTGGTTCACCACTGCAACCCCCCCCCCCCACCCTCCCTCTTGTGTATTACCTGGTTCACCACTGCAACCCCCCCCCCCCCCCCTCTTGTGTATTACCTGGTTCACCACTGCAACCCCCCCCCCCCCCCTCCCTCTTGTGTATTACCTGGTTCGCCACTGCACCCCCCCCCCCCCCTCTTGTGTATTACCTGGTTCACCACTGCAACCCCCCCCCCCCCCCCACCCTCCCTCTTGTGTATTACCTGGTTCACCACTGCAACCCCCCCCCCCTCTTGTGTATTACCTGGTTCACCACTGCACGCACCCCCCCCCCCCCCCTCTTGTGTATTACCTGGTTCATCACTGCACCCCCCCCCCCCCCCCCCCGTTCTTGTGTATTACCTGGTTCACCCGTGACTGCACCCCCCCCCCCCCCTCTTGTGTATTACCTGGTTCACCACTGCAACCCCCCCCCCCCCTCCCTCTTGTGTATTACCTGGTTCGCCACTGCACCCCCCCCCCCCCCCCCTCTTGTGTATTACCTGGTTCACCACTGCAACCCCCCCCCCCCCTCTTGTGTATTACCTGGTTCACCACTGCACCCCCCCCCCCCCCTCTTGTGTATTACCTGGTTCACCACTGCAACCCCCCCCCCCCCCCTCTTGTGTATTACCTGGTTCACCACTGCAACCCCCCTCCCCCGTCTTGTGTATTACCTGGTTCACCACTGCAACCCCCCCCCCCCCCTCTTGTGTATTACCTGGTTCACCACTGCAACCCCCTCCCCCTCTTGTGTATTACCTGGTTCACCACTGCAACCCCCCCTCCCCCCCCCCCCCCCCTCTTGTGTATTACCTGGTTCACCACTGCAACCCCCCCCCCCTCTTGTGTATTACCTGGTTCACCACTGCAACCCCCCCCCCCCCCCCCCCCTCTTGTGTATTACCTGGTTCACCACTGCAACCCCCCCCCCCCCCCCTCTTGTGTATTACCTGGTTCACCACTGCAACCCCCCCCCCCCCCCTCTTGTGTATTACCTGGTTCACCACTGCAACCTCCTCCCCCCCCCCCCCCCTCTTGTGTATTACCTGGTTCATCACTGCAACCCCCCTCCCCCCTCTTGTGTATTACCTGGTTCACCACTGCAACCCCCTCCCCCCCTCTTGTGTATTACCTATTTATGTATGCAGGTTCTTGCAGTGGAGACACTTGGTACCTTGGAGAAGTTTGATCTGACTCCTGGCAAGGGCGTGGACTGTTCCGTGTCAGGAATCGAGGACTTAGTGGCTGTTGATGAGGTTGACAGTGCGAGAGGTGCGTTAAGTCTGATTCTGCACTGATATGCCAGCACTCCGCCGTGTTTGATTCACGCCACCAACCCATTCATGTAGTAGTCTTGTTGCTGTCACTACTGGTAGTAGTGTCACAGTATGCTCTAGCCGCATGACTAGGTGCCTGTGTAGCAGTTTGAAGATAGTACCTGTGTTGTGTCAGGCAATTATGCTCGTAGATAAATATTGAACCCCTTCATCCACCATGCACTGTAATAAGCTAACATCCTCTTCTTCCAATTCTCACATTCTCTCTCAACAACTCAGGACCAGCAAGGAAATCTATACTGAGAATTCCCCGTTGAAGGTTAACCTGGTAATAGGTGTCACGTGTACTGCGTTCACGTACATGTTGCGTTCTATGTGCGCCCCACACATGCGCATGTGATGTCATGTGTGGATTGGGTTTTGGCTCTTTGCTGGCGTTTCAGGCTTTCGCTACTCGGTCTGTTCTTTACGCTTCTGGCAACTGGTTTTGCCATTGCTCTGTTCTCTTCTTGCTACTCCCTGCTATTACTCTAAGTGCCATTCACACTGCTGTAGCATTGTTGGTTATAGCTAAGACTGGTCACGTAACAATAGTTATGAGGTACACACACCCCGGGGGGGGGGGGGGGGGGAGGGGGTACACACCGAATTCTGAGAGCAGCCTTCCCTGCCAGAAGTGAGGAATGTGGAAGTGATCAATGCTTTTTCAGTTTCATTGGGCTTACTCTATATTTTATGTGTGTGATGCAGCTCGTCCGCTTGCCAGTTCAGACGACGGTGTTGTAATCCATCATGTCGTGGTGGGCAGTCGCAGCTGGTTACAGAGCCATGGTCACACATTGTCATTCTATGCCGATCATCAACTCAAACAGTATGAGAACTACCAGTCTACCGTCGTGCTTGCCGCAATCAATGGCCGTTTGGCTGGAGCATTTGTTCTGAGCGTTGCCGTGAAGCCAGAAGCTGAGGCTGTAGTGGCCATGTTGAAGGATATGAATATCAAGGTGATGATGGTAACTGGTGATAACCGCCGCACTGCTAATGCCTTGGCAAGTCGGGTACGTAACGCTTCCCTATTTTAAAAGGCAGTGACCTGTCCTCTTTCACTACATCAGAGTACATGCACAGCGGCATCTAGCTATAGCATGTCTTGTGATGCAGGATGCTTAGGCCGCCGTTATTACACTACAGCACGCAGCTCGCGTTTCGCATTACTTTTGATCAGATTCTGACGGTTGTCAATGGCTTCGGGTCACGCGATCCAAACGCGGCGCTGCCGTGATCCTGATTTGGGCTTTCGAGGGCAGGTCCGTGTTTCCGTGAGCTCTGCCATGAGACGTGAACTCGTTGTGCCCATATTTCTGAGTGCTCCTTTGGTCAGTTTGTGTTCACTTTCAATTATCAGGTCCGGACTTGACCCTCAGCATGCCGACGAGAAACTAGACGAAAGGAATAGAAGCAAGTTCTTGTTACATCCTGCAAAGATGATCAGGAATAGATCCCGCACAATGCAAAACGAGTGCCACGACCGAGGTTAACCTCGCATTCTAGGATCGCAGCTGGAAAACTGCAAGCACAAGCTGGGTGTGATGAAGGAGAGATCAACGGATCTATGTGAGGCAATGTTCTGGCATAGCCCGAGAGACTCGTTGTTGACCTAGGATACTAGGCAGGCTCTTGTGACTTGAGCAATTTGGTCACAAATTTCACTTCTCACACCGCAGTTGCAAGTTAGTAGCTGGTTGAAAAGTGCTTCGCCGCAAGTGTGTCTGATATTCATGCGACACTGGCTTTCAGTGAAGGAACATTAATTTGTTTAATATATTCAGCACCCTTTCTAATCGACTGGGGCGTAACAGCCACCTGAATCTCCTCGATGCATGATCGCTTGCTCTCCTTCTCTATTGTACAGATTCAGTGTTTTTTTGTTGAAACATACAAGCCAAACTCAGTCTTTTGTAGCACGCGTGTACGTACGAAATGTACTACCGTAAAATTCCGTTAATAAGCCCCGGGCGTATACTTTGCAGAGTGTCAAAAACCGGGCGTGTATTTGGGCATGGGCTTATTTTAGGGCATGGGCGTTATTTCGGACGCAATCTGCAGAAGATCAATCTATCAGCAACCCACTAGTTTCAGTGAACCACCATTCACACTGAGCGTGGTACAGGTCCATCAAACTACAACTGTTCTACAGTTTGTATGCGAAGGCACGCTCGCGCTGGTCATTTTGAGTCCACTTTACGCCCTGGACTTATTTCGGGCATGGGCGCTAAAACGGACTTGAAGTGTACACCGCCTAAAACTGGGCTTATTATCGGACATGGGCGTTATTTAGGGTGGGCTTATTTACGGAATTTTACGGTAGTACTTTGAGTACAGAATCAATGCAAGTGACGCAGCTCTGTAGCATCACGGCAAGAGTAATGTAATACCTCGTCGATGCGTTTTTGGGGATGCGTTTCCACACTTTGATGGAGCCGGCTACCGTAGTGCAATAACGGCCTTACCAAGAGTTTCTACTTGCTGTTACCTGCTTACTGTGAACTGCGTTCATGGTGCAATGGGCTTCTATATTTATGTGCTTGTGCTGTGTTCTGATGCTGTTCTAGATTGGTATTCGAGACGTCAAAGCTGAGGTCCTTCCAAGTGATAAGGCAGAAGTAGTAAAAGGCCTTCAGAGTCGAGGAGAAGTGGTCGCTGTTGTCGGCGATGGGGTTAATGATTCACCAGCCCTAGCTCAAGCTGATGTCGGAATAGCTGTAGGAACTGGAACAGATGTTGCTATTGATGCTGCAGACATTGTTCTGATACGGGTAAGATTGCAAGTTGAAATGTGTGTTGCGTGTGGTTACCAGACCATCACAAGTAAGCTATGTTACAGTAACTCCATTGATATGGGTGCAGAGGGAGTTGCAGTGCAGGAGTATATGCTCTCGGTGGATTTGTGTTTGTGCAATAGATTTATTTCTGATGATATGTGATTGTAGAAAAGAAAACGGACCAAGAAACTACAAGTTACGCTATAATGTCCACTGAACACCACGGCAGTTACTAAACAATCAGCTCATGCGATAACATTGCACGACACTGACCGACGGTACGGACGTTCTACAACTAACTGGCTATCAGCTCTAGCACATCTTGGATGCGCACTCCAACAGCCTCCCAACTTGGAAGGTTCTAAGTTATATGATAACATAGGAGGGGAACCTCCTTTTTCCTTGATCCTTTTTCTTTTCTATAAATTTATCCTTGGCTCTCCATCCGAGATGATATATATACTACGGTGACAAATTTACATTAGTGACTCCACTAAAGCCATCACAAGTTCCAGCAGGTTCAATTTTCCTCCAGTTGACAGGCTGAACATGAGTAGGCTAAAAACTAGTGTTTAAACCGAACACGGATTCTTCGAACGAATAATCTATCGAATAATTTCGCCCCCCATCGAACGAATAATCTATATTCTATCATACGCATGATGGCATTTTTCAACACTTTTTCAGCACTTTTTAAGTAGTTTTTTTTTAATTTTTTGCTGATTAATATCGGATTTTGTTATGTGGAGGTGCAAAACCGGTTAACCTATACTCGTACCGCCAAGAGTACATAACCCCCCAGACTGCAGAGTGTGCAATGCCTGATCCAGCTCTACATAGGGTCTTGGTCGAAAGTGGTCAAAGACCGAAAATCACATTCACTGCATCCATGTTTCCCTCGTATGGAAAGAACAGAAGTATTACTAGATACCGATAGGAGATTAAAACTTGGAGGAGAGGAGATTGAGAAGAAATACTACGAGCAGATCTATGTTACGCCGTGCAAATATCAGCAGGGTCAGCACTGAGCATAGACCTTTTTTTTTTTTTTTTTTTTTTTTTTTTTTTTTTCGATTTTTGATAATTCCTACGACTATTCGATTATTCGTTCACCCCACGAATATTCTAAATTATTCGATTATTCGATTATTCGTTTCAACACTACAGTAAAAACTCATTTTCAGCCGCCATTCACTCAGCGTGTTTGTTCAGAACTATACGGGAAACTTATGTCACGAGATAACGGTGCTGTTTTTTAGTTCTGCTGTTTCTGAGGGATCAAATTTGATGGTGGGTAAGAGATGTAGAGCAGTGTTCAGCTGGACTTGAAGCGCAATAAACTGTACACACATTTGGCTGATTTCTGTGAAAACAATCAGTTAGTTAGACAATCGAGGCGAAATGGTTACAGAGATCTTCCACGGTGAAGTAACACGTTCTTTATGCACGAGCGTCTGTTGGCAGGTCTGCACATTCATGAGCGGTGCTGCCCTTGGTTTTACTTGAATGTAAATTGTCATCAATTGTAGGTGCTTCACTGGCACATACCCGTGACCACTGACTCAGGGGTGTTGCAGGGCAATGGGGACTGGCACAACCAGGGGTCGGGGTGTCCCCTGTGGGAAAAGAATCAAAAGATGGAATTTTTTGGCCAACAGGGCATGTTTTAGCGCTCTACAGGCGCTCTGGGTGGACCATCCTCCATCCTCGTGGACGAAAAGGGGTACGACCATGGTCACACTGGGCGTACCGTGTGTGACGCCTCTGTGACTGGATTGTAACAAGCTGCAGGCATCACGGGGCAGCAGGCATAACGTTATGCCGCATGCACGGGCTGCACATCCAACGTTATGCTGCATGCATGGGCTGCACATCCAACGCAACCATTCCGCTTGGTAAGGCCGGAGGTGGCCAACGTTTCGACCAAACCGTTATGTCGTGTGTTTACTGCTGAGTAGATCATGCGTCAGAGTTGCTATATGCAGCAGACACGGCTGAGTAGATCATGCGTCAGAGTTGCTATATGCAGCACACACGGCTGAGTAGATCATGCGTCAGAGTTGCTATATGCAGCACACACGGCTGAGTAGATCATGCGTCAGAGTTGCTATATGCAGCAGACACGGCTGAGTAGATCATGCGTCAGAGTTGCTATATGCAGCACACACGGCTGAGTAGATCATGCGTCAGAGTTGCTATATGCAGCAGACACGGCTGAGTAGATCATGCGTCAGAGTTGCTATATGCAGCACACACGGCTGAGTAGATCATGCGTCAGAGTTGCTATATGCAGCACACACGGCTGAGTAGATCATGCGTCAGAGTTGCTATATGCAGCACACACGGCGTGTTACATACCACGGTACATGTATAGTCATATCAGTACAGAGCCGTGTCCAGCGGAGTTGTGCCGTGTCCGCGGCCCTGTCTCTTCCACGTGATGTCTTAGACTGTAATCAGTAGTAGAGTACAGTACAGTGTACATGCAAGTGTCCCGGTTCCAGTTCCTTTCATCCTGCATGGGCACTGTGAAATGTTCAACTATTGTCAAGTCACCAAGTGTGTGTTCTCCGCACTGTTTTGCCGCTGCACAGGATGATCTTGGTGACGTGGTCAACGCCATTGACCTAAGCCGACAGACGGTGCGCCGTATCCGTATCAACTTTGTCTGGGCAGTTGTGTACAACGTGATTGCCATCCCTATAGCTGGTGGTGCTTTCCTGCCAATCGGACTCTATCTTCTACCTTGGATGTCGAGTGCCGCCATGGCTGCTTCCTCGGTGTCAGTGGTTTGTTCATCACTTCTTCTCAAGTTGTAAGTTGCTCTGTCATTAGAGTATGGGCACCATTGCAGTATGTGAATGGTATGGTTCTTGTTTGTTTGTGTGTGTGTGTGTTTGTGTGTGTTTGTGTGTGTGTTTGTGTGTGTGTGTTTGTGTGTGTGTGTGTTTGGGGGGGGGGGGGGGTGCGCGCGTGCATGTGTGTGTGTGTGTGTGTGTGTGTGTGTGTGTTTGTGTATGTGTGTGGCACTTGTCTTGATTTGTTTCAATCAGAATCAGATCCGTTATCGTTGCTATAAAGAGAAAAGCTGTGGGTGCGCATGCAGTGCATTTGCAGATTTTCCATGCTTCTCTTGCGACGGGCGTACACATGGTACAGGTCTACTCTCCATCTAACGTAATCTCTGGGACCACGCAAAAATTATGTTATATCGAGAGTTATGTTATGTAGAAAACCGTGTGTAAAATACAAAATGTACCTCAAACTGAAGGGTATTACAAGGCGGGTTCAACCGTGCAAACATATACATATACACACTGTACCACCATTGACATCAGATACCATCAATGCTGCAGAATATATGCACAATAGGACTAAACTGGCTAGCTACGGTTGCAGCTTGATTGTACCGTGCACGTGAATCTACGTTGTATCGAGAGTGTGCACGTCGGGGACAGCGCCGTAGCGTGTGTTGTGCCGAGGTTTATGTTATGTAGGACTAAACTGCCTAGCTACAGCTATCGCTTGATCGTACCGTGCACATGAATTTATGTTCTATCGAGAGTGCGCACGTCGGGGACCGCGCCGTAGCGTGTGTTATGTTGAGGTTTATAGTATGTAGGATTATGTTGTGTAGAACAAAATTTGTATGGGAGTGATGCTGTTTCGGCGCGGGATTTTATTTTATTATGTACTAGCGAGGTTTATGTGCAAGTGAGAGTTGTTATATCGAGAGCAGACCTGTATAGCAAGAATGGAAAAAGAAAAATAGGGATTCACTTGCCAGAAAAGCCACTTCAATTAGCTGTGTGGTGTAGACCACGCTAAAATTTGTGGCGACAAGAGTACATAGCCCCCAAGAGTGTGCAACTGCCTGCGCAGCCTCTATACAGTGCTGCGACGGCAGAACTTCACATCACAAGACATGGTTCGAAAGGGTACGCTGGCAAACAGTGCAAAGTGACCACAAGAGAGTTGAACCCAAAGCAGGGTTGCATACAATCCTGTATCTATCATGCACAGGGTCCAAATAATGTGTACGGGTTTGTCACGTGATGTGAAGTTCTGCCGTCGCAGTAGGCAAAGCCCGATTTTGCCAGTGAAACTTCGATATTTTGCCGCAAAATTTTGCTGGCTCATCGATATTTTTGCTTTCATTTTGCCAGGCCACTCGATATTTTGCTCACTTTTTGCTCCCAAATTTGTGTCACGTGTGGGAAATCTGACGGAAAGTTGGTCACGTGTTGGCAAAAATGAGAATCATGCACTGGGGATTACTGTGGATTAGCGGACACACTGAATGATGCACTGCCGTTTTGGACCTGTTCGCCTTCTGTGTTCCCTAGTTTTTTATACCTCGCCCCCCATGTAATCATGTAATCATGAGTTGTTTGTAGCCGTAGTAGCCACTTCTGTTTGGTATGTTGCGCCGTTCCACCATTACTTGCGCACGTTGTATTTGGTTCTTGTCTTGTAGAGTCCAATGTCTGCTGTCATATAAGGTCTAGGTGTGCGTGCGAGTATACAGTGGTCCCTCTATAATCCGGCACCATTTGTGCCACGAAAATCTGCTGGATTAGGGAGGGTGCTGGATTAACAAATCTGATTTACTGCTGCAATGTGCATGAAGAGGACATTTTGGCTACTGAAAATTGTGCTGGTTTATCGAGGGTGCTGGATTATAAAGTGCCGGATTAGAGAGGGACGACTGTAGTGTGATGTGTGACGTTTATGGTGTGTGGTGCATGCAAGAGTACACGTTGTCAGAGTGTCTTGGTCTTGGTCGTGTGTTCTGTACCCATTGGTCCCTGATTGGTCGTCCCGATTTGTCCTCGCTTTATCACTGTGTGTTCTTGGTCTTTTTCCTTAGTCCTTCGGTTCACGTTCCACTTTTCCCTTCCCGCTTGAGTAGAATGCTCTAAACAGATAACTGTGTGAAGTTCTGGTTTGGAGTGTCCGTGTGAGGGATTGTTTGTGTGATCTAGTAGCGTCTGGCTACAGGCAGTTCCTCTGTGTAGTACTAACTGTTATTGTGTTATGTGTGTAGTGTTTGCACTCAATCTATGTATCCCATGCCTGGTTGGCCATGTATGTATCCCATGCCTGGTTGGCCATGTACAAGTACTGTAGGTCCATGATGGATGCATGAAACCTCTGCTGCTGCAATGCACTGTTGGTCTTGTAGGGAAACTTCAAACACAGTTTTGTAGGGAAACTTCAAACACAGTTTTGGCCTTGTTACCATGGGAATACTGTAGTGTTTTTTAAAGCCTCTCTCGTATAGAAGCCTGTTTTGAATAAAAGCCTGATTTTCAAGATACACAAGATACATAAGCCTCGTTTTAGTGTTCACATACGTAGAAATACCTGCCTGGTTCGAATACCTGAATACCAGCCTGACTTGAATAGAAGTCTAGCACAGGCCGCATTGGCTTCTACAGGAATAAGCCCGGCTTTAATTACGCGGCTTTGTGGTATGTGTGTTTTAAAAGGATGTAGCTCCTCGAGTGACACCCTACTTTATTTAGTGGGTAAAGGTCATGCTCGCCCTTCCGATCCGCTTGTTCTGTATGCTTCACTGGATGGTATACTGAGTTTGAAAGCCAGTGTGTTTGTGTTTATGTGTATGCGGGTGCAACCTGTCAGAAGGCTACCTTTCTTGCCAAGGCATTAGGAAGTTGGACTAGTTTCGGCTCCACAATCCAGTGTGTCGTTACTATAATTATAGCTTTCATGGCTGAGGTTGTTGGTATGTCTGTTGGCTCTAGGTTCCCAGTACTCAGTAGTCGAGGCTGGTTGGTAAAGTAATTCCAATTTCACTTCAAGGTACCAGTGCATCTAGTGTCCACTTCTATCAAAGCGACGTACTGTCTATACTGGTTACCCCAGCAAGTGTAGGGTGTGCATAAGTAACTGTCTTGCCCGTTTTATGCCGATGTACTCCGTGTGGTGTAGACCAGGTGTGCATTGGTGGTCGATTCACATGGCTTTGCAGGTTGTGTGGATTGGTCAGTTATCTGGCGCTAGTCTTGATCTGTCTCATTCAGATCTTGTCCGTTATCGTTGCTATAAGAAAAAATCTGTGGGTGCACATCCAGTGCATTTGCAGATATGCATGCTTCTCTTGCGACGGGCGTATACGTGGTACATGGTATGCGGGTGTGTTCTTGCACTTTCGTCCCAAAGTATTTAATGGTGCACGTTCAAATGTGTGTTCGGGTGATACTGACTGTTGTTGGTTCAGGTACAAGCCGGTGACAGCAGGAAAGCTGGATCATCGACGACGGCACTCCTTCGTGAAATGGGTGTGCCTCCTATGCCACGATGACAGACATACGTATCAGATGCTTGAGTCCGACGATGATGAGGAAAGCTAATTATGTCGATGAGGAAAAGCTAATTGTGTCGATCAGGACAAGCTAATTGTGACGATGAGGAAAGGCTAATTGTGACGATGACAATGGCAATGAGGAGAGGCACACGCCTCTTGCTCTCTTCTTCAAGTCACATGAGGTGTTGTGTACACGCCTCTTGCTCTCTTCTTCAAGTCACATGAGGTGTTGTGTGTGCGAGAGTGTTCTGTGACTGTTCTAGTTGTCCTGGTGGGCATGCTGAACAGCAGCAAAGCACGGATGGCAACTATGTTAAAACGAAAAGACAACTCTTCCTGGACTGGAGCCCCCACCGAAGTGAGTGACTTTGGCGGCGGTCCTTAGAGACTTGGCTTCATGTGATTTATTGGTGAATATTCTTCTAGTGCAACAATGCGGTGATGTATGTCCCCACTATCTGTTTTCTAGGTTGCTATCTCAGTTTGAGTTCTGCCCAGACCCTAAGTTTATGCAGCTATGCATGTAGCTGCTGCAATTCTGCTTTCCGACTAGCGTTGGGAGTGCTGTGCTATTGCTGAGCCCTGTAGTGATTTTCCTCTGAATATTTATTTGAAAGTTTGTGTTGTCTATTCAGTTGTTACTAGTACTGACAAGTGTTTAGTAGCAGGAGTGCGGCTTTCTGCAGCTTCATCATCTAGGAAAGGGGAGAGAAAGAAAGTGCCCGCGCTTCCTTACATGACCGCAACAAGCTCGTGTCGCCGTTTGCAGTGCTGGTCGCATCGTGGATCTGAGCCACAGTGAATGTGTGTTCTTGGGAACACTTTCTCTTGTGTTGCCTGCATGGACAGTGCCCTACTTGCAATGCAGAAACATCGTACTGCTACCATTACCAGCTGTCATATTGAGTGTACTTGGCTATTCTTGTTTGGCCCAATTCAATCAGCTGTGATTTTTCATTGTCCAAGTTTTCTATCGTGAACTTAGCCCATCTTTTGTCCTCTCGCATTGCACTGGCCAGCATCAGTGCAGAGCCGTGTAGATTAGACCTGCTACGTGCAACTGGTCCAGATTCAAGACTGAAGATTCCTACATCCAGGTCTTATCAGGGAGAGTACATGTACTGTAAGGTTACTTCCAAGTACAGTGTAACTCCCTATAAGCCTTATGCGCGTTGTACAGGTGCACGAAGTCCCGTACAATCTCGTAGCATCCCGTAGACCCGGTTGGGCATGTGCAGGACCCTATTGTGTTTTATACTGCTATTTCCACCAAGAAATGGGCCCTGAAGGTATTTCATAAGAAAACCTTTTCAGACAAATATCTAGTTAGTCATTAGGTCTAACCAAAGTGAAGAAGCTAGAAAAGCGACTGTTTGCCATGAATTATGAGGCTAAAATTGGTCAAACGCGCATGCATAGCACACAACGAACACCTAACCGCATCTGTACACACACCTACAGCCCTAGTACAGAACTCCGTACATCTATACAACGTGCATAAGGTCTACCAGGTATTACTCTCATGCCAGGTCACAATTACAGTGCTCGCACCCATACCCCACCCTACTTTGTCATGTTCTGTGAGCGATGGAAAGTGACAGCATGCACACACCACTGTGCACCTAAAATCAATGAAGTGCTGCTAGAAGAGTGACCGCCGGCTCACTACATACATGTACGGTATTCGCATGGAGAAAGTATCGCAGCACATGCAGTGCCCGATCTAGATGGTCAGATTCTACTGTCCGGGGCTAAACATGCAGCTGGCCATTCCACTGTCCGGGGCTAAACATGCAGCTGGCCATTCCACTGTCCGGGGCTAAACATGCAGCTGGCCATTCCACTGTCCGGGGCTAAACATGCAGCTGGCCATTCCACTGTCCGGGGCTAAACATGCAGCTGGCCATTCCACTGTCCGGGGCTAAACATGCAGCTGGCCATTCCACTGTCCGGGGCTAAACATGCAGCTGGCCTGACGTCCAAAAGCATCATGCGTGGCGTCCTGAAACCATCAGCACCGTGCGACCACCAATATTCAACTTGACATGCACACAGCTTTCTGTTCCAGCCATGATTCGAATACATGTACTTGTAGCAACATGCGTAATTTGAGAGTAATGTCAAGAGTGTTGAAAAGAAACAAGAAAGGAAGCAAAGTAAAAGAAAGAAGTCATCTGACCAGCAGAGACACCTAAAAAAGAAAAGAAATCACAAGATACCAGTGTGACAACTTTCAACTAACACGCCAGCCGTACTAGTTTCTCCGTGCGGCTGATAAACGCACTGGCAAAGGTCTGGTCATCGAAGCGACGCGCCGACAATCGCGCGTGCTGCCGTAGGTTGTCGCGCTCCTGCTCAGTCATACACAACACCCACATCATCTTGTCGGCGTACTCCTCCACTGTAGATGCTAAGAATCCAGTTGGCTGTCCGCGCCACTCTACTACAATGTCCATCTTGGGACCAGCTGACTCATGAGCCAAAGTCACTGCACCAGCAGCCATGCATTCCACCACCCCAATGCCAAAGTGCTCATTCACCATAGTGTGCAGACCAATTGTAGCACTGCATAGAAAGTCACGCAGCAGATCGTACGAGGCGTTGAGCTCAAAGCGCACCGACTTCTCAATGTTGAGTTTACGTGCCAATACACGCAGCTCATCCACACGCTGCTGGTCTCCTTCGTTTCTGCAACCACCCACAAGAACGAGTTCAGCATCAAGCTGGTCTTTGCTATTTAGGTGAAGATTCTTGTGGAATAGAGCGAAGGCTTCCAACTGCAGTGCATGGTTCTTCTCTGGACGGAACTGTGCTACCGACACAACCAAATGTTTGAGTGTGGACCGGTCGGGTAAAGGCTTCAATGGGTTGGCAGAAAAACCACTTGTGTCACAGGGGGGGTACACAACTGCCGTGAGCTCTGGAATCTTCCACAGCGACATAATGTGATCTTTGGTCCATGATGAATTCACCATCACAACATCTGCACGCCGACCAGCAACACCATAAATGTACGCAAACATACGATAATAGAGTAGCTTGCCTGCGCTGAGGATACGAGAGCGAGCAATGAACGATGCATTGTTGAATGCAGCTTCCCGCTGACTCACCCGACCCAGCATGTCTGTGCTGATAGTTGGATAGTGTACATAGCAACCTACACGACAACCACCAAGCCACTTGAACAATGGAAGGGTAAAGGCATAACCCATAGAGTCAATGTACACATCAGGCGTGAACTTCCATAGAGCTTCGAAGCCTAGAGCAAGCGAGCCAATGCTTTGTCCAAGGAGGGTAAAGCAGGGCCAAGTAGACGCCTCCACCAGATTACGGGACTTCAAATGGACAAACTCCACACTATTGGGTACTTTCAGGTTAAATCGTTGGCGAGCTCGCCTCAAGATTTCCTCTCCAGTGGCGCTATCTCCGGTGAAGACATGACACCGGACAAACTGGTACCTCTCCAGTAATGCATTGACACTACACCAGAGGACACGCTCACCGCCACCACCGGCATGACAATAAGGGTGGAAGAAAGCAACGCGAACAATTGCACCTTTATTATTTTGACGATCAGTTTTTCGGCGATGCCGAATTCTCCACCAAATGACCAGTTTTAGTGCAACAAAGGGAAGAATGAAGATCAGCAGGAGAAGCCAGGAGAAGGAGCAGCAGATATCCATGTCGTTGATCTCACAATTTCGCAGCTAGCTAGCTGTGCAACTTTACGTCAAGTACTAGTACTCAGTACTAGTAGTACTTCCAAACACCGGACAAAGTTTCTATTCTGTCATAGTTTTTGAGCTCGGCGATCGGAGAAGAAAAAGCATGCCACTTTTTTTTACTTCACTCGGATCGGATCGTACTCGCGCTCGCACATATACATGCATAGTAATGATGATGTCACTACGTAGCTAAAAAATTTACACGTAAGTGACGTAACGTCGTTTGTAAACTCGCTCCCACTGTCCATACGTGCAGGCCACTCATGGGTGCACCCATGAGTGGCCTGGCGCACGGCCGGGTGGGCCGTTTTCATTTTCCTGGGTCCGATCCCGCGGGAAAAAGTCTGCACAAAACTGTGTTGGTGAAGATGATGACGACAATGGCAGTTGGGGGAGAAATTTGGCAATTGTTTTGGCCTTTCTCGCGGCCTGTCTTCGCTCCTTTGCCTTTGCAGCAATGGAAGATGATGAGTTCAATGTTGTGCTTTGACGCCGAGTAGAAAATGTGAATCGCAAACGCCATCTTGGCCTTTATGTATGGAAGAAACTGCTCTCCCCGATTTGCTGGTTTCGCCGACTGGCATCGAGAAGTAGACGAGCTGCGCTTTCCAAGAGCCGCGGACACCAAGCTCTCATGGCGGATCTTAGTAAGTACATATTGTTGTGTAGTGAGATGATAATGGTTTGAGCATTCCTGCCTGGAATAACCGATGGCACTAATTGGAATCTCAAAATTGTTTTTTTAGTATTTTTACGAGCACAAGTGTTGCCTTGTTGAAAATGGCACAACAAGAAGAAAGAAGCATCCAAAGGAATACGATGTCATAAACGAGAGAGCTTGGAAGCTCAGGGCCCTACGCTATGCTTTTAATGTAAAAAGGCCAGAAAATCCGATTTTATGGAGATAAAAAGGAAAAGAAGGAGCAAACCGAAAGCGGATGAAGTGAGAGAAAAATAACAATCCGCAATACTTTTGCCTAGCTCATATTAGGGCTAGGCGGATAATGCTCGCCGAAATCACTCATTCTGCTTTTCGGTCTGCTCAATATTCTGCTCATGAAAGTGCATTTTCTGCTGAAATTTCTGCTGAAATCCAGTTATGTAAAAATACACTTGGCACACATAATTGGGTTCAGGATCTAAAAAGATGAGTCATGTGAAATACTAGACAAGGCATTCTAGTCTTTATGATCAGTTCTCACCAAGTATATTTGGACTGACTGCGTTAGCCAGAGGAAATGGCTGTGCTGAAGGCTGGGGAAATATCACACAAAGAGGTAAATGGGGCTGCTAAAAGGCAATAACGTATGGACAACAACACAAGACATTCTAGTTTTTATGATCTGTTCTCACCAATGGACGGATTATACTGCCGTAGCTTCCGGGAAACTTCATTGTCAACCCTGGCAGCATGATTTGATTTGAATCTTTTCACACAGCGGGCTTTTTCACCGAAGGTCGAAAATCGCTGCAACTGGGCCATATTATGTAGATCTACGACTCGTAGACTTCTGCCAGTGGCCTGCCATTCAAGGCTGCTACCTTCCGCAAAGTAACAGTTCCGGCCACATTTGGTGGATGGATGGACTGCGTGTCGAAGAACGCGGCAAATCTGCTGCAAAATCAGAACGTCGCACGCCAATTCCGTGGTAACTGTCATTTGACATGGCAGAGAATGCTTTTTCAGCCCCCGTTCTGCCGAAATATGCTCGACCCCCCAAACAGGCGTTTTCTGCCGAAAATTCTGCCGGCATTATCCGCCAAGCCCTAGCTCATATTCATACTGATTGAAACGTTTTTGCAATACAACGATGTAGCCAATCAACGGAAAAAACATTTCCATCAATTCTAGTAACATGTACAATGAGGTAGGCAAAAAATGTCCTGATGTCTGTCCTGACGTTTCCTGTGACCGGCGCTGACTCTGCCGATCACAGGCGTTCTGGCCTCGACGGGATCTCTCTTCCAACTTTTCCTGTGACCGGCGCTGAATCGCCCGTTCACGCTTATTTTGGAGTTGACAAGATGTCTGTCCTGACGTTTCCTGTGACTGGCGCTGACTCTGCCGATCACGGGCGTTCTGGACTCGACGGGATCTCTCTTCCGACGTTTCCTGTGACCGGCGGTGAATCGCCCGTTCACGCTTATTTTGGAGTCGATTCTGCGTCTGTCCTGACGTTTCCTGGGACCGCTCTGACTCTGCCGATCACGGGTGTTCTGGAGTCGACAGGATCTCTCTTCCGACGTTTCCTGTGACCGGCACTGAATCGCCCGTTCACGCTTATTTTGGAGACGACGGGATCTCTCTTCCAAAGTATGTTTTTGCTGACGCATCCTATCACCTATTCCGCAACTAGCGTCCATTCTAATTTTATTCCCGTAGCTATGCAGAAGACGTTACTTCAGTAACGTCTGGCGCTAGCCAGGGTCCACACAGCTTTAATTTGGTGTTTGTTTGTTTGTTTGTGTCACGCCTGGCGCTATCCCGTATCTGTCCCGTACCGTACCGTACCAGCCAAGACAGCTGGCCACAATATATTTTGGTTTGTTTGTGCCATCGGCATGCCAGACGCTATCCCGTACCTGTCCCGTACCATCAAGAATACGGTACAATCAAGAGAATGAGTATATATGCGGAGTGTATCGGGGTAATGCATTCAGTGCAGTAACATTTTGTGTGGATTTGTGTGCGAGGCCGAGATCCCACTAGCAGGCTGGCTGGGCCGCCTGTCGACCAGCCCGGGAATCGCATGTAGGCCGATAGCATAATAATTATAACGTATATAGATGTATAGCAGGGATTCGTATTATGTAAACGACTCAGTGCTGTCTAGGGAGATTTTCTTGAAAGAAATACGAAGTAGGAAGATGAAGAAATGCAATTAGAATGGACGTTAGTTGCCGAATATGTGACATGATGCGTCAGCTAAAACAACCTTTGGAAGAGAGATCCCGTCGTCTCCAAAATAATCCTGAACGGGCGAGTCAGCGCCAGTCACAGGAAACGTCGGAAGAGAGATCCCGTCGACTCCAGAACGTCCGTGATTGGCAGAGTCAGCGCCGGTAACAGGAAACGTCGGAAGAGAGATCCCGTCGACTCCAGAACATTCGTGATCGGCAGAGTCAGCCCCGGTCACAGGAAACGGCAGGACAGACATCGCGTCGACTCCAGAACGCCCGTGATCGGCAGAGTCAGCGCCGGTCACTAGGGGTGTGCGGATAATGCTCGAAAAGGTGGCAGATTCTGTTCGAAAAGCAGTGAAATTGGCAGAACCATACAAACCTATGGCGGGCAATTACTCGAATTCTGCTCCATTTCTTTATCCACATACCAAACATGCAGGAAACTTACCAAAAAAGTACCGAATTTGCCAATTTTTCTGCCGGCATTATCCGCAAATGCCTACCGTTCACAGGAAACGTAACAAAAAAATTAAAAATTAAAAATATACAAAAAATATTAACGCCGTAGCAACAGACGTTACTTCAGTATCGTTTGGCGCTAGCCAGGGTTCACACGGCTTTGGCACGTCACATGCATGATGAGCAAGCAAAAAAGCATAGCGTAGGGCCCTGAGCTTCCAAGCTCTCTCGTTTCCTCCTCGTCTCCCTATTCATTTTCTTTGCAAATCTCCCTCTACATCAGGGAGTCGTAAACATAATACGACGAATATTGTGGCCAGCTGTTTGTGGCCAGCTGTTATGTACAATCCTGTAGAACCTTTGTAGTCACAGATACGGGACAGATACGGTAGCTCTAGACGTGACACAAACACACAAACAAACACCAAATCACAGATACGGGACAGATACGGTAGCTCCAGGCGTGACACAAACACACAAACACCAAATTAAAGCTGTGTGGACCCTGGCTAGCGCCAGACGTTACTGAAGTAACGTCTTCTGCATAGCTACGGGAATAAATGTATTCTCTTCCCGTTTAGTGTGCCTGTGCTTAGGATGGTACTGTTGAGGAATCCGAAAGTGCGAAATTTGTATGTGTTTATACTCTGTATATTGTAGAATTTGCATGATATTTTAGTGGGTTTGGACTTGTAGTTGTATTCTCTTGAGATGTACCCTCGTTGCTGCTGCTGCATGGCTGCGGATGGACATGCTGGCCTTAATTGCCATGAAAGCTTCTCTTGGTGTCATTGTAATAATATATTCTTTGTCGATATTATCGATTGAAACGAACCGAATGCTGTCTCGTTTCATGTACGCCGCTGACGCAGATCCACTGCATTTATATTTTGGTGGCTGAACCAAGAGTCCATAGCCCCAAGAGCATGCAACTTTGCACGAGGGGTCTGAAGGGGCTTGCTGCCCACATTACGTAGCGACAAACTGGGGTATGTATGCTGGGGCAGTGCGTCAACGATCTGCTGTGGTTTCCAGATTCAAAGCGCGCTTTTTCTCATAAGAGCCTTATGAAGCTTTGTGTGCATGGTGTATCGCATGCAGACACTGCCCCGGACCTGCTGTGTTTCTGTGTGTAACCGATCCACCAGGGGTTAATAATCCGGGTTACGTCTTCTTGGCAGAACTACCGGCAGTGATGCCCAGCCATGCCAACATTCTAAAGCGCGATGCATGATATCACTTCTGCGACGTGATGCGCGACGATGCGATTGAGAAATTTTTCTGCAAATTGTTGCAGTGAGTGCTGCTTCACTGGAACCAAAATATGGTTCAAGTGAAGCAGCACCCACTGCAATTATACTAATAGGGACAACCAAATCCACTTCCATGGAATTCAGTGTATTATCTGTATAACATTGGAAAAGTGTAGTATATATAAAGAGCGGAGCACTTTTTTCCATTGAATTACTTTCTGTGTTTCATGCATTATTCCTACTGTCGTTAAAAACTTAAAATACTGCCTTATCTTGTGCGATCTGTGTGTCTTCTCAGGTGGATCGTGCTCCAACGCGTCTTGGCATTGTGTGAGAACAGCACGAAGAGGACCTTGGGTATTAACGCGTCTTGGCATTGTGTGAGAACAGCACGAAGAGGACCTTGGGTATTAACGCGTCTTGGCATTGTGTGAGAACAGCACGAAGAGGACCTTGGGTATTGCAGCCTTTCCGCAGAAGGAGAATGACTCGCTTCTTTGTGCTAGTGTGCAAACATCCATGTGTTCTCCCAATACTGCTGTTAGCTCAGCCAGAGGATTATCGCAGATCTGAGTGTGACAAGCGATCAGCTGTACTAGCTTTGTCGTGAATGCTTGCACTGCTGTCAACTATTATCCATTCTAGCTGTGCCTCGTAGCACTTCTTGCAAAAGACATCATTCTATGGTATTGTCATGCTCTTACTTGGAGCTGCTGAGACCGTTTCATAGTGGGAACACTTCATCTGTGCCTGTTTGTCCAAAAACTGTCTTTACGTACATGTCCTGCAATACCGCCTATATTGGCTCGGCGTGCACTTTTGAGCTCGTCCGCTACGTTCCGTTTCATACACTTCTGTAGTAACGCAATGAAGATTCTCATTGACACTCCTTTACACGGCCAGCGTATGTGGATATTAATCTGTAGGTGGCTGCTATTTGGGTTTTTGTCTTTCGCCGTTCACTATTTTACCAAAATAATATTCCAATATTCTGCATTTGTCGGATGTGTGCACTGGTGTCCAGACGAGTTGCTTGGCATAACTCGCAGACGGAAATGCACACACACCCAGGGTGTAGCTGAGTGGCATTATTACACCGTCCTGATGTGTTCATTGTGAGTGCTACATGCTTCCAGCTGTCCTCCATATACATGTAAATAGCGAGAAAAACAGAGGTTAGAAAATTGGTCGGCGTGGTGTTATTTGGTCTTGGACACCGGCGAGAGACCACATACTAAAAGACTAAGGCTTGTTCTTCTGGATGTTGTAGTAGGTGTTACTACGCGTGCCTGGAATACTTGATGGCACTACACTAAAGTCCTGCGTAAAGAAAAATTCAAATTTCGACAGTCGGAGAAGACGTGATGCTGCATGGTACAGAAGCACCCCGCGAGAAAACGTTCGAAACTGAGGATAGAAGTTTGCCTTATCCGGCGATGGACGGCGTGTCAGGTCTGAACTCGAACGAAAAAGGGCCTTGTAAGGCCCACCTTGCAATGACTAGAAACTAACAATTCTCAAGAAATAGCTCAAAAAGTTCAAAGTCCACTGACTCTGGAAAATAAAAAACACGGATAGAGTGCGATATTTTGAATCTGGCGCACGGACTGTGTCCCAGTACTGGTGGTGTTATTGTAGTGGATAATTAATTATAGCGTAACTTACTTACTAACTTACTTGTAGCTCTCTGGTCCTCTTTTCTTCTCATAGATTAATCCTTGGCTCTCCACCCGAGTCTAAATTTATTTCTCCTCTGCATTTACTTTTGTTCTGCAGTTTTAAATAAGAATATGCAGAAAATAGTAGAGATTGGGGAGGGGTCGTGATTCTATCACTATCCAGACCCTTCAAAATCTGCGTCTAAAAAGGAAGATTGATATGCTGTAACGGCAACGCTTTTTATACCATGTTACAAATCTGAAGTGGAATAGTCAAATGAACATTTCTCCATAAACTGATAACCATCTGCAACCAATTAGGGAAGGTCTGAAGAGAGCTATGTTCTTTACGCTTACAACGAGGGGAGACTCTTCCTCAAGGTGTGTGCACTCTACTAGATGGGCCTGGCCCGAAAACTTGGATAGAATATTCATTTACTTTACTTGGAAGAACTTGTACTCGAGAGACTGTTTTTGGGTACTAGTAGCGGTGTATAATAATGTGAAAAATGAAGGGAGACAAGTTAAAAATTCATACACATAACAGTGCAATACACACACTCCCCATCAACACCACTTCGAAATCCAATCACAGTGTACTGAATTGTGGATGGTCAATCCACTGGCTCAGTTTCAGCAACCACATGATGCTACTACCAGCCCAGATACTTGGGAACAGAAAGGACCACTGGCACACACACTCTCTTTCTCTCTCTTAAATACCTAACACACAGAGTCAAAGCTGGAAGCACCAGAACTTAGAGTCAAAGTAGACATCCATGGCACAAAGGAGTTCTACTTATGCTTGCATCTCCTTGGTCTCGTCCACAACATCAAGTCCCATTCTCCACGCTTGACGGATAATCATGCCACAAATCTCTTCCAACGACTGCATTTCCATCTGTATATTGTTCTTCTGCTTGATTCTGGCAATCTCATATATTTGCTTGATATTGACGCGACCCACGATTTCATGAGACGCTCTTGCAGCTCCTTTCTCAATCCCAGCAGCGTTCTTCAAAAACCACGCCGTTATTGGTTGGCGTGTAACCATTTTGAAGCTGCGATCCGAGTAGACGTCTATATCAGTTGGAATTGGAGCTCCATCGATAAAGTGGCTCGTTCTCTCATTGAATTCTTTGCAAAACTTTCCTAAGTTCACTCCCTTCTGTCCGAGTGCAGGTCCCAACGGAGGCGCTGGGGCGGCCTGGTTAGCAGGAATAGTTATGCGAAATGTATTGATAAGCTTCACAGCTTTTTTTCCTGACTTCGACATTGTGCCTGGTATTCAGCCGAGATACAATGCCATGACTGAAATACAGAATTATTATGTCAAGAAAACCTGCGCTTCAAACAAGTGATAATAAAAATTCACAAAATAATTTTGTCATTCCTGTGTTTTTTCAGGTCATGACGTCAATCGATCAGGGAGACCGGATATCGCGGATCAGCTCGAGATCACAGGCGAGGTATATTATGCTCCGCAGGCCGCGAAAGAGAGCCCGTTACCTGGACCCCTACTCGCGCGGGTAGAGCGAAACTGAGCACCCTGGGATGCGAGCAGCTTTTTAGTACTCCCGGGTCCAAAATCTCACCACCAGGCCGGGATGATCAAAACGTCTGCCGGGTCTGCAGCCTACAAACGTGGATCTGCCGACACTGTGCTGTCGACGACATGTCCGGCAAGGCACCTCCTTGCGTGAAAGCAAGGAACGCTTTTTTTTTAGAAAGGAAGCTTCTTCTCCAAAATTTAAAATTTTTGAAAATTATTCCTTCTGAAAATATCATCGCGTTCTTGACCTCGAAGCTGACTGCTGAATGCGATTAGGAAAGAAGATTCCTGAAGATACACCAGACTGATTCTGGCAAGCCGTCTGTCGTCTAGATATGCAGTTGTTCGTCATGCATGGTCAGCAATCTTCCTCGTTCGTCCTTTCGTTTTCCTGACCACGATGATGACAAGCAGCTCTCATGCTCAGGTTAGTACTGTACTTGTATGTCTGGGCACACAACACATCTGAGATTCACCCACTGACGTTATCGAACTGAAGAATGCAGCAAGGGTTCCTCGGATTCTCTTGATTTCGGAACAAATTTCCTTCACTTTCACCCTCTCAGTCTCTTCCCCATGCCCTCCATGCATGCACAATCGAGTTTGCATTTCAAATGTTGTTTTTACTTTGGCAGTGCGTTCGATAACGTTAGGACAGTCTAAGTTAGGTGTTCTTCTCTTCAGGCTTATTGGACGTGTACAAATTCTAAAAAAATAGCTTCCATATGCTAAACGCAGATCCCTGTGAATACGGTTCTGCTGGGCAATGATGTTTACACCAATCTACACTCTATGCTGTCACAGCATCCACAACTGATCCTCTCTCTCTGAATTAACTATTTGATAAAGCCAATCTTTAAATCGCTGTTGCATAGGATCTCGGGTGGGAAGAAGCGATGAATCGATACATGGCATTGTGAAGAAAAGAAGAACAAATTCACATTGCACGTGAGACTCGGTTAGAAAGACTGAGTTTCTGCATTCATAAGAATGTCACACCCCGGGGATCATGATAAAGAAAACATATGTCGTGAAAATGACTGAAAGAACCAAAGAAGTATTTGATCTTCCAGCCAGCTTAGCCTGGTACTACCATACTAGCAGTGCTACCAAGTACCAGCCCTCCATATTTTCTGTATTTGTACGGAAAATCACTCCTTGTGCGCACTACAGAAATTGAGCAAATGGTATAGAAAATCGGAGAGGATCAATCAGCTGTGTAGAAGCATTGCAAGTGTAAGCTGAGTGATGAATAGTCTTGTACCAAAGCGAGTGCATGCCGTACCACAACAACATGTACATGTAGCACAAAAATAATAATGTCGTGAGTGCAAGTCACACATGTTTTACACAACCAAATGCAGCCACCGACATGCATGTGCGTGTCAAAAAACATTACAGTGCAAGTATGCATGCAATGTACACGGCAGTACGCAAAACACTGCAAGATACGGAAAATCAGAAGTCTGAGTACGCAAAACAGACTCAATTGGTGGGCAGCTCTGTACTGGCCTGTACGGAGGGAGTGAATCTCAATGTGTGCAATGCACGCACTTTGGCCGACAGTGAAAACTATGCAAGTCGTGTTGGTTTGCAGGATGAATGTGAGTCCTTTTAGACAAGCGCCTTAGTGGAGTAGCCCACCGAAAGAAGAGTACTTGACACCGCGAAGTGGAGTCTGCGCATACAACAGTGAGGGGGTAAAATTAGCTATGACTGATTCTACATGTGTTCTGCATGTGTGTCACATTACACTAGCAGATAGGCACACCTGTTGTTCCAAAAAGATGCTTATGTCAGTGTCTGAATATGTCGTGTACCAGGTAATATTGTTGCCAGGATCTCACGGTGAGAGTCAGACTTGAATATGGTATCAATAGATTATCAATATCATACATCACCATGTACCACCCAAAGTATAATAGCCGAAGGACCCGTTTGTGTGGTGGTGTATGATTTCGTGAGCAAGATGAAGTGGCTACAGATGTGTCTTATATAACACCCTAAGAAAAGATCATCAATTCTGGGGAAAGTGATTCTGGTAGCATGTTGTATCCAGTGTGGCATGACAAAGACTCCCTCGATTTAGCCTGTGGAGAATCCGTAAATACATAAATACAATACATACAGGCATCGCAACCTTCGGATTATATGCTCTTTTGCTTGCCTCCTGGAGTGTGGTTGTACCTTGGTTCACTGTATTAGAATAATAGTAGACTTTGTTTTTCGAATTCGTTTCTATAACATTAGGTTTCTTTCTGTTGCTGCTATGTCTTTTCATGTGTTTTACAGGATTGCCATCTGTTGATGAATACCACTCTGAGGCACTCTCACGAGCGAAGGTGTTTGAGAATCCATGTCGGAATGATGGTCATGTTGGCCTAAAGGTGCATTACATTGCCGATACTCGCCACCTCCACCCTGGAACATGTTCAATTTCTGTTTCTCGTATGGAAGGACCGAACAGGTTGTTTTCCTGTCTCAGTGGACCACTCAAGACTGAACAGCACTGATGGAAGAAGATTTGCCGTGAATCTCGTTCACATAAATTGTTGGGGATCGTCTGAAGCATATTCAAGCGAGGTACAGTCGGGCTTGATGACTGATCAAAGCCCTCGGGCTTTGATCAGCCATCAAGCCCTCTGTACCTCGCTTGATTATCAGCCTATGCCCACGGTCGAAACAAACCCTGTAGTCCTGACAGGTGCCGAAAAGGTGGACAAAGCGATATTCTATGTAGGAAACGTCCACATGGGCTGCAGTGCCGACTCCATCAAGGATTGGTGCCAAGAGCGTGCAGTGGATGTGCTCAACTGCACCATCTTGGAATCCCGCACCTTCGGAACAGCTTACGCCAGAGTGACATTCCCAGCCTCAGCTACGGAAAAGGTACTGGGTGACGGATTCTGGCCTGCAACTATCCAGCACACCGTAAGAAAGTGGCGGTTTGCAGATTCAAATACGAACAAACCAGGTAAAACCTCCACGTCGTCAGAATGATGGCTTCCGCACCGCTGAGCGCCCGGGCCTTCCCATATTTTCCTAAGACTCAACATAATATCACTATTGTTACGATTAATTGTCGCTCCGTGTCGAACAAAATCCCTGAACTCCATGCATTGTGTCGATCCAACACACCGACTATCCTATGTCTGACAGAAACCTGGCTCTGCCCGATACATATGCTCAGTGTACCCGGTTATACGTGCTTCCGTCGAGATAGGCCAATACCAGCAAACCAAAGGGCCCAGTTCCGAGGTTATGGTGGTGTTGCCATCCTTGTACGAGATGGGACATTTTTGCATGCAGCCCAGCGCTCAGACCTTGACTCTCCCCAATGCGAAAACATATGGGTTGAGCTTGGACTTCCTGCAGACCTGGGTGCTAATCCTATACTCATTGGCTGTCAGTATCGCCCTCCTTCGCAATCCCTACCTGAACTTACCTCATTTTGTGACATGATGACGGATACCCTACGGGCTGTAGACCTCTCATCCGTTGATATATTCCTCACTGGTGACTACAATGCTCACAACTCTGACTGGTGGAGCGGTGACGCTACATCACGCGCTGGAAAGGAACTTTCGCATATATTCTCCAGCTTCGGTCTCTCCCAGCTGGTAGATTTTCCCACTCACACCTCTCCTAACGGAACCCTGTCGTGCCTAGACTTGCTCGCTACCAATCGTCCTCAATCAGTATTCTCTGTCGACGATGCTGCCCCGCTTGGTGCGTCCGACCATTCACAGGTAGTTACCACCCTTTTCTACAGAACTGTAACCCGAACGCCTGCAAAGGAAGTACCATGCTATCCTGCCCGTAGTTCCCCAGCCACTCCATACAATTTTGCGCAAGTGCCACCTTCTGTCTGGGTAGCAGTAAATATGTATCTTTCCTCGCTCAACTGGTATGATCTCATGCACACACCAGATGTCGACGACGCATTAGCCAGATTCTCCTCTTCCTTGAATGATGCATTTTCCCACTACCTGTCGCCTTATCGGAAAATCTCTTCCTCCACCCAGCGAGCTGTATCTAGGAAATATCCTCCGTGGGTTAATCGAGATTTAGTACTTGCCATTAAGTTGAAGTACGAACTCTACAGCCGATATAGGAAGTTCCCAACCCCAGCTAACCAGTCTGCCTTCAAAGTTCAGCGTAACAGAGTACGCAACTTATCTCGAACTCTTCACCGTGACTATTTGGCATCTATACAGGCCAGCATGGCGTCAGGTAACCTTAACATGTACCAGTTTGTTCGTTCTCAGCGGAATCGTCAGCAGGATCGTGGCCTTCCTCACCTCATTGATGAAGGCGGTCATCCAGTTTCTGGCAGTTTCGACAAGGCTACAGTCCTCAACCAGCAGTTCGCCTCCGTTGCTGTGCCGGATGATCCGTCGTTATCACTTCCAGCTCTTCGTGCCCACAGCCAACTTCATGAAACATTTGTTCAGGTCATCACCACAACTGCGGATGTTAGAAAGGCTATCGCCCGACTAAAGTCTCGCCGCAGTCCTGGCTTGGACACCATTACGAATGATGTCCTGAAGAAACTTGCCCCGTCGATATCGTACCCCCTCTGCCGTATTTTTAATGTGTCCTTTTCGACTGGTAAATTTCCAGCAGCATGGAAACTCGCGAAGGTTGTTCCGGTTTACAAGAGCAAAGGCTCCAAGTCACAAGCCAGCAATTACCGTCCTATCTCCTTGTTGTCCTGTGTATCA